CAAGGCCGCCAGACAACCTGTTAACTTCTGAACCTCTCGGATGGTACGAGGCGACTGCATGTCAATGACCGCCTGCACCTTCTCAGGGTTCGCCTCTATTCCTCTTTGATTGATAAGGAATCCGAGAAATTTCCCAGACTCAACTCCAAATACACATTTCTTGGGATTGAGCATGACATGGTGCCGCCTGAGTGTGGCGAAAGTTTCTCGGAGGTCCGACAGATGATCTATTTGAAGTTTAGACTTGACAATCATATCATCAATGTATGCCTCGACGTTTCTCCCAATTTGATCAAAGAACACAGTGTTTATCATTCGCTGAAAAGTGGCCGGGGCATTCTTAAGACCAAACGGCATGACCGTTTAACAGTATAACCCCTGATCAGTGACGAAGGCCGTCTTCTCCTGATCTTTCTTCCATAAAGGAATTTGATGGAAACCAGAGTAGGCGTCCATAAAGCTCATCAAAGCATGGCCGGCTGTTGAGTCGACCAGGCTATCAATTTTAGGCAGAGGATAACTGTCTTTGGGGCACGCCTTGTTTAAGTCTGTGTAGTCTACACACATTCGCCAGGTGCCATTCGTCTTTTTAACAAGCACCACATTTGCAACCCAGTCTGGGAAGTAACATTGCCGAATGAACCCTGCATCAAGTAATTTTTTAACTTCGGCGGCTGCCGCCTGACTTCTTTCTTCGCCATGGTTCCGCTTCTTCTGCCCTACCGGCTTCTTTTTCGGATCCACGGCCAGTTTATGTACCGCCAGATCAGGACTAATGCCTGGCATTTCATGGACTTCGAATGCAAAGATGTCCTTGTATTCTTTCAATAGTTTGTGAAAGTCGTCACCTAGGTCCCTCAGAGCAGCCGTCCCAACTTTGACTAGTCGGTCAGGACGCGAGTCGTCTAAGATCAGGTCCGTATGCTCACCAGCCGGCTGAGGGCGGAATTCATTCGACCGCTCCTCTGCCAATGATTGCTATTTTTTGTCTTTTCTTGCGGCCCCTGTCTAGGATGCCTTTCTCTTCTTGCCGCCTGCTTCTTGAATAGGCGCACTCTCCTTGACATTGTCAAGGTCTATTTTTCCACCACTCGACCCAGTGGTTATAACAGTGGGCTTGACATCCGACAGATAGCACTCTCGGGCCATCCTCTGATCTCCCCTTAGGGACCCGACTGTCCCATTATCCCTCTCAAACTTGAGCAACATAAGAGATGGGATTATAACAGCCTTGGAATTATTCAGGGTTGGTCGTCCCAGAATCATGTTGTAGGCCGAGAGTTCTTCTACTACCAGGAACCGGACTACCATGTGTCGTCCTTCCCCTTTTTCGCCCAGGCGGATGGGTAAATCCACTCGTCCCACTGGGTGGACGACTCCTCCTCCAAACCCTACTAAAGGGTGGGAGGCCGGATGTATGCAATCAGTCTGATATTTTAGTTTCGACAGACATTTGCTACTGATGAGATCTAAGGAGCTTCCGGTATCTATGAGGATTCGGCCAACTCTCTGGTTGGCCACTTTACATTCAATAACGATAGGGTCGTCATGCGGCCCTCTTACCCCTCCTAGATATTCTTCAGTGATGACAATCTCAGGAAATGAATATTTGGAGGGCCGTTCTGGGTGAACGGAATTTACATCTAACCGTCTGATATTGTCTTTGTTGCCCCTAATAGTGGGACCGCCTCCTGAGAAGCCGCCTGCAATGGTGTAGACGACTGCATCATCTGTATCGGAGCTGTCGGCCTTTTGATTCTTTTTGGCCGACTGCTTTTTTGAGGAAGTGTTCCCCGTAGATTTCTTGACATAAGTGTCAAGATCACCTTGCTCAGCCAGGCGGTCCAGATACCGCATGAGACTGATGCATTCATTGGTGTGATGACCAACATCTTCATGATAATCACAGAATTTTTCTTGGTTCCGACTGTTCGCAGAACCCTTCATGGGGACCGGCTTCTCAATTGAGATCCGTCCCTGGATTTCCTTTAGGATAAATTGGCTATCCTTGTTAAACGCATACTTTGGGGAGTATGGTTTGAATTCTTTTTTCTTCTTCTAGGACGGCTGTTTAGAGGAATCATCCGCCCAGACCTCTTTTCTCTTCTCATCTTTGTTTGACGACTGTTTCTGTCGTCCTTCTCTTTTGTCGAACCTTCTCCCGTCTGACTGTTTTACCGTACTACAAAGATCAGTCGCCTGTATATAGGCTTCCGCTTCAATCAAGGCCTCTTGAAGAGTCGCCACCCTCTTTCGGACCAAATCAAATTTGAAGGTCGACCCGTCTTTGAGACCTCTGAAAAATTCAGTATAGGCTACTTCATCCGGTAACCCTTGAATCTGTATTCTCATCAGGTTAACCGCCTGATGTAAGAACGAAGCCCCTCCTTCTCGCCTTGCTGAATTGTTCCTAAATCAAGGGTCGTCTTCTTCGCAGGGATGTTCATGGCGAAGTTGGAGGTGAATAAGTAAGCAAGCGTCTTGAAGCTATTTACACAACCAGTCGGCAGGTTGCCGAACCATTGTTGTGCGATTCCTTTGAGAGTCGCTGGGAAACACTTGCACCAAGTAGGATCATCCAACCCTTGAAGGTACATCAGGTTGGTGAATGCCATCAGATGGTCTTCTGGGTTAGTAGTGCCGTCATAGGCGCCTACTAATACATTTTTCACTTTGGCCGGCTGAGCGGCTTCAGTAATTTCCTTGGAGAAGGCCGACGGCTGTTCGCCAAGTCTAAGCAACCGTAGCTGCCAGTCCATAGGTTGGACGTGTTTTGCTGTATGTCCACCAAACGGAGGTGGCTGTAAAAAATACTGTTGTTGCGGTACAAACGGTAAGTTTGGTACCGCCTGGTCGCTATGATAGCCGGACTGACGGGAGGTGCCGCCTGACTGACTCTCATGATACGACTGAGTATGCCTCATCGAGGTATTTCGCAGACTGTCTTGGAGGTTTGAAGTAGAGGCCGACTCTGACAATCGGTCACTCTTCTTCTGCTCTAGCAGTAGCCGAGCGTCTGTGTATGTTTTCCTCGACCCGTCCGCCTGAATATGACGAACAGGTTTCCTATTTCCTGGAGTAGGAAAACGGTATTTTGTGAAATCAAGGGCAGTCGGCTCCCGCTTCCTAGATTTAGGATGAGGAGTCGCCTCTCGCCCTTGAACTGGCTTCCTCTTATGTGAAGTGGAGGGTTTCTTAGCCGACTGCTCCTTGTCCAGAGCAGGCGGCTTCTTGTTGATCAACTCTTGAATTTCTCCCTTGAAGTCCCTCATGAAGGTCATGAGTTCACTCCTTGTGATGGGAGCAAACCCATCAGTCGGCTGTTGCCGAACAGGCGGTGCGCCTGCTGGCTCGCTTCCTGTATGAAGATGTTCCCGTTCCCTCCTTTCGGTATGACGGGTACGTCGGGCCCTTAGGGTCCCGTCTGAAGCTGTGTGAGCTTCAACTTCAAATTCATTCTCAGTATCGTGGTCTGACTAAACTAGAGGGTCGTCCAGGGGACGTCTCTCTTCAGGAGTCGGTACAAACGTGGATGCCATCTCAGAAGTACTCTCCCCACAGACGGCGCCAAATGTTTCGGGGTTTTCTGATGTCCTGCGGGAGAGTTACAATTCCAAGACTGGAACCGGACGCCTGTACCTGCAAAACAACAGAGACTCCTGGTGGTGGGAGCTCCGCCTCCGACGGTCAAGTTAGTACTTGATTAAGGAGTAATTAATGCGGAAATTAAAGTGATTGGGTCTCTCTAGGTGAGAATGTTTAATGTGTGTAAACTGCGTTTTTAGCGTGTTCCCCCTCTTAATGAGGATTAAGGGAGGTATTTATAACCTTGGGAAACGTGCCAATCCTAGGTTTAGGTTAACCTAGGGCTGATTGGGCTTCCCTCGGAAGTTGGGCCTGGGTGAACGGTTTCTCCATTAGGCATGGAGTATGCCACGTGTCATGACATAATATATCCAAGGTGGACGAATAAGCGTGTGCCACGTGGCAAGCCCTGACAGTTCCAACTGGGGGACACTTGGCAGGACCTGATTGGCCCACGTGGCGCATTCCGATTGGGGGGAGCAAAATCCCCTAATCAGAACTAGTCACCCTAGTCCACTAGAAAATTAATTTGTCTTTGAATGTTCTTCAATATTTTGTCTTTGAATGTTCTTTGTAATAATTTAACTAGTGTGTGGTTCGGGCTTTGCCTCGAGAGATATTTTGAATAATTTTATTTTTATGTTAGACGCTTTAAAAGACTTAATAAGTTTTTTTGCGTGGTATATGAATTTAAAAAATTAGATAAATGATTTACAATTAATTTTAATATTAAATAATAAATCAAAAGACCAATAAAAAATTAGTATAATGGTAGTTATATCCATTGCCCTTTTGTAATGAGCATGTAGAGAGAGAAGAATAAATAATATTATAAAATGCAAAAAATAGCATTTTTGGAGAGATAAATGTCGTGACCAAGTCTGTAGCAAATGGTAGGCAAAAGATGAGAGTGTGCCACTTGTCTTGTAATAATTGGCCTACATTTTTATTTTTAATATCTTTTTAATGTTTTATGTGCATAAAATATTTATAACCAAGGCAACCAATGAAAGTATATGGGAAACCAATGAAAGTATATGGGCATAACATGGTATGAGAATTGGGCCGAAGAGAGAGAGATATGTATTAAATATTTGATGACCACCATTGGTTTGGGTAACCATTGACAATACTATAAAGATGACTTTTTTAGAATCATCCATTAGAGATGGACATGAGACGAGTCGACACAACTTAACTAGAACACAAATATGGTTTGACCTAACAATAGCATACCACAAGCTTGACTTGACACACGAGACGACACACTAAAGGACCCTGTATCATTCGTGGATAATGTTTTCCAAATTTGGCATGAGTCCAACATGAATACCTTTTAATGTGATTTCCTACTTGCTCGGTTTCTCCTCCTACATGCATAACTTTGCCAACTCATTTGCATAAATTTGTCCTAGGTTTAACAAAGTGAAAGTCGAGGTATCAAGTACATAAGAATGTGTAAGAAACTAAGGGAGTAATTAATTAAACATATAGATTATCTATTTACCCAATGAACATCAAACATAGAACCAAATAACATGAAAACTAAAACAAAATTAACCTTTACTACACCAACTTAATAATATGAAGTACGTACTTTTGACTATTACTCCTAAAATTCTATGTTTAGAGAAATAAAGCAAGTAATAAAGCGGAGGGAGATGTACTTACAATACCCCATACCTTTTTTTGGGTTTTAGGCTCGATGCTCAATGGATACACAATGTCAAATTTGCACTACTTCGCAATTAATTAATGGAAAAATTGTTGGAACTACCCGTCTAATAGGTCATTTTGTCAATAACTACTCGTTTAAAATTTTTATAAAAAAAATACCCACTAAATTTAAATATTTGACTAGCACTACCCAATTTGGTTTTCCGGCAATGAAATATGGTGATTGGGGCTCACTTTTGATTTTTCTTCCAAAATTTAAACACGAAATGATGAATAACTCAATTATGAAGCCAAAACTAGTGAATTTAACATTAATTTTAGAAGCATTATATATCTCTTAATTAAAACCACAATTACTTTCGACATCTTTAATTGGAGAAATATTGAAAATTTAGTGTTCTAAAGGTGAGTCATTGTAAAGGGGATTAGGTTGGTTGCTATACACAAGCTTTAGGCTTAAATTTTGGAGGGAAAAAATAAAATTCGGACACAGTTGCTAAATTTCGTTGTCAGAAAACCAAAATGGGTAGTGTTAGTCAAATTTTTAAATTTAGCGGGTAGTTTTTTTAATAGAAATTTTAAGCGAGAAGTTCTTGACAAAATGACCTATTAAGCGGGTAGTTTCTAACAATTTTTCCTTAATTTAATTGTACTAATCAATAATCACGGTTTATATGAGTAATAAAAAATAAAATAAAATAAGAAAAAAGAAAATAAAATAAAATAATTTCAAAAAAAAAAAAAAATCTCTGTTGCGGTGGCATGGTGTCATATTCCCATTGTTACTAGTAGTTGCCAGAGGTTGGGGGTTGAGTAAAAAGAGAGTGCGAGCGCCGACGAAGAACTCGCCGGAGTAATCGGAAATTATGGATTTGCTGCCGGAAGAGACGCCGGAACTTGCCAAAAAGCATGGATTCCGATCACTCAAGCTGCTAAACGTCGACTTGGAGCAGCCGCTCGAAGATAAACCTTTCGGCGTTGATTACGGCAAGCTCGACAATGGCCTCACTTATTATGTTCGATCCAATTCCAAACCTAAAATGCGCGCTGCTCTTGCTCTTGTCGTTAAGGCTGGGTTTGTGTTTTTCACTCTTTCTTCAATTCATTTTAATGATTTCAGTTTTTAGCACAATTGCTTGATTTTTAATGTTGTGAAATTGGAGGTTTTGTTTTGAGAATGTAGCGTTGTTTTTTGTGTGAAATTGTTGGATTTTTTGGGTGAATGATGTGAATTATGAATACTATTTGTGTGTAATTCGGAAAGTTGGTGGGAATTGTGTGTTAGTGATGCGGAATGCTATTTGTGTGTAATTTGGAATGTTGATGGAGATGTGCTCAAATGATGCAAAATGCTATTTGTGTGTGATTCGGAATGATAACGGAATTTGTGTGTAATTTGGAATCATAATGGAATTTGTGTGTAATTTGTAGTGTTAATGATATATGTGTTTGAATGATGTGATATACCATTTTTGTGTGATTTGGATTGTTAATGTAGATGTAATTTATGTGCAATTATGTGGAATACTATATGCGCTTATTTCAGTATGTTAATGGAGTTTGTGTGTAAATAATGCAAAATGCTGTCTGTGTATATAATGCAAAATATTACTCAACTCCATATTTGTGTGAAATTTAGGAATGTTGATGGAATTTGTTTGTAGTAAATGCAAAGATTTCTCTGCACATGTGTAAATACTTCATAATTCATGTTCGCATTCTATGTCCTTTTGGAATAGAGGTAATGCCAGTTGATGATTTGTTCGGGCAGGCAAACCTTGCTGTAATTTGCTTTAGCAAACCTTGCTGTATTTTGCTTTTGCATGTCATTGTCGTTTTGTCTCTTTGAGATGAGAGGATTGTCTTAATTTAAACTTATTTTTACCGTGATTTTGGGGACCTTTATCAGTATAGGCTTAATCAAAGATGGATGAACAAAAAAGAGGGAAGTTATGCTGAGGCCATGAGGGTGAAAGTGGCATTTTCTTGGTCTTGCTCTTATGGTTTTAGTTGGTGTGGTGAACTAGGCATAATATTAATGGATTCGGATAGGTAGAGGTTTTAAGGTGGGGTAGATTCATTTGATAGTGATAATTGTAGTGGTGAGGGACTGAGGGCAGTAGCAGAAATTTAGTTGGGTTATGAATGTCCAACTTGCTTCTGTTGAATCTGGCTCCTTTACTTGGGAGGATTCTTGAACTGAACAATTCCCCTGCCCAGCTTAAGCAAAGTTTTATTTTAAGATGAAGATATATGGTTCCCACTTGTACTTCTAGATTGATCTTCTGTAATATGGGTTAGTAATGGACCTCATGCTAAATGATCTTCTCCTTTCTTGCTTTTTTCCCCCCTTCTTTACTCTCTGAACTCTGTACGATTGTGTGTGCCCTTTGTCTCTTTGAAAATTGTTGTCCACATTCTGAACATCGGATTTGCAGCTCAGTTTTGGAAGAGGAAGATGAAAGAGGAGTTGCTCACATAGTTGAACATCTAGCTTTCAATGCAACTACAAAATATACAAATCATGATATTGTCAAGTTTATGGAAAGTATTGGAGCAGAATTTGGTGCTTGCCAAAATGCCATGACTTCAGCTGATGATACTGTTTATGAGTTGTTTGTCCCTGTAGACAAACCTGAGCTATTACCACAGGCTATATCAGTCTTGGCAGAGTTTAGTAGTGAGGTAGTATAGCTTTCCTTGTGATTGAGTGGGTAGTTCAAGCAAGTTTATTGATATGGTTCTGATAATGGACAATGCACAATGTAGATTCGAGTCTCAGCAGAAGACTTGGAGAAAGAGAGGGGAGCTGTGATGGAAGAGTACAGGGGAAGCCGAAATGCCAATGGTCGAATGCAGGATTCACATTGGGCTTTGATGATGGCAGGTTCTAAGGTATCACTTGAAGTCATTTATCATTCATTATTAGATCCTTATAACACATGGTTTTTTGAACATTGTGTCTCACTAGTGTCTTTCTTATATTACTTTGTTTGTGTCTTCAGTGAAAAGAAATTGGTTATATTGAAAATTATTAAATTTGTATTGTTTATCTTATCATTAATAAGTACTCCATTCCTATTTACTTAGCAGTTAGCACATTTTGAATTTTTGTACTATGATTAATTAGTACTCTGCCCATCCCTATTTATTTCCATTTTGTATTTTTGCACTGTTCACATACCTTAGTTTGGCCATTTTATTTGCTAAAATATGAAAACAAATTTTATTATGTAAGATGTTGTGTTTATCTTATTTTTTGAAACTCTTTAGTTGTTTAAGTTTAAACTATTTGAAAATTATTGGTCAAATTTGTGCATTGGCAAGTGGGTCCAATCAAAATGTGTCAAGTAAATAGGGATAGAGGGAGTATATTGCTAATGTTTATTAGGAAAAATTGATATTAAAGGGTTCTAACTATTGTCTGTCTAATTTTAATGGACTTAACTTTTGGTTAACTAGGCATGATCCTAACTTTGAGGCGTGTCTTCTGACTCTTATAATATCAGTCTGCAACGTGGTTCACCGTGTCACTAATAGGCGACTTGGTTTACTTTGTTAATTTTTTTCATTACCCTTTTTTCTTTCTCTTTCCTTCCCGTTCTCTCTCATCTGCACCTACCAAGCATTGCCCCCCACAACCCCACCCCAATGAAGCCACTAGATCATCACCACAATCTATCCTTCTCCACTGGACATGCCACCCCACCACTAGTAACCAACAACCTCATATATTCTTCATCCCTTTGATCAATTGCAGCAAGAAGCTTCTTTTAATTGCTGCTTGTAAGTGAGCAATTCCTCCCCGAGTAGGATGCTGAGACGAGTTTTGGAAAATGGCATCTTAAGTTCTTCATGAGAATGCTAGAGCCTATAGGTGAGGATATCAAAGCTGTTATGGAGGATGGGAGCTTCATAGTCTGGGTTTTTGAGTTGAATTTCTGCTGTTATTAAAACAGGAAATCTGAAGATGAGGGTGATGTTGGTAGTAGCATTACTCTTGCAAGAAGGCAACAGTCCAAATGATGGATGTGTTTGGACGTGATGATGTTAAATCATTGTGTTTGGTAGTTAGTATCAATCAAAGTTGGGTTAAATTTTGAGTATGCTAATGATTTATATGTTGCTCCCTTGTTTTCATTTTCATTTTTCAATGCTATATATATATATATATTTTTTTTTTTTTTATCTTTTTAATTTTGTTCTACATCTTATTTTGATTTTCTACTTTCCTTAAGTTTTACAACTTAGTTATAAACACAAATGCATGTATTAATTTTTGTTTTTGTTTTTTTGGTGATTGATGATCAAACAAAGAATTTTTTTATTTTTATTATTATTTTTTTTTTCATTTTTTTATTTTTTATTGGGCTTATGTGAATTCAATTAAAATTTAGTGATATGTTATAATCTGGGCACCAACATGTTTTATGAAGGGAGAAGAGCAAGCACAGAGGCCTATGTTTTAGAGGGATGTTGCTTGAGAAGAGCAAAAGAGGAAGTTCATTGGGAAGGGCGGAGAGTTCACCGGTGGAGGGAGAGGGGCTGCTAATGTGGGGGAGCAAGAGAAAGGGGTGGGTGAAAAAACGTTTGATTTTCTTAAAATTTGGAAAGATGTAAGTCACACAAGCCTAATTTGAGAAGACACCCCTGGTATCATTGCGCGGTGATGGAAAGTTGAAACATTGAGTATTTGGTTCTACATGATTGATATCCCCGTTTTAATTTGTTAAAGTACATTTTGTCATATTTTTCTTGTAGTTTGTAGTTATTCGATAGATATATAAATACCTAGGGTACCAAGATTATCAGGATATTAAATTGAGAGTTGTTTGGCTGATAATACCATAGGGGATTGCGCTTCATCACAATTTTGATTTTCCACTAAATGCAGGAAATTGTTTCCCCTAGGTAAGTGGAATACAGTCAATTTAATAAGTATCTACACCACTCCGATGTAATTCTTGCAAAATATATACTCCTACAATTAACAAAATGACATTTCCTTTTCTTTTTGTGTAGTGATATTGGTTATTATGAGTATCATCTGCAAACAAGGGAAAGTTTATTGTCTTTAGAATTAGCCAATTGTGTAATTTAGTGTTCTTCTTGTTCAAGCTATGTTTATTTAGGGCCTTTTTTGTAGTTTATACTTTGTAGGGTGCTGAGCTTGTCGGATAGTGTCCTTTTGCATTTATGGAGGCAAATCTTTGTAATTTATTTTTCTCATGTGTATGTGTGAGATAAACTCACAAATAAGCAGCCATGCTATCACATCAGAGTTTTAGTTAGGTTTTGTTGTTTTTATGTGACATTAGACAAGATTATGACTAATTGTAACTTTGTAAGTAATATGGTGAAGCCTTTGATTTTTTGTTGAGTGATAAAAGCTGCCATTTGAATGACTCTAAGAGGCTGATCCATATCAATGAGAGGAATAGATTGTAATCATCTTGATCGTAAGCTTGCGATTTCACTCTTGCATCAGGAGCTCTGTATAAAATAACAAACATATTTTCAAGCCAGAATTAGGACTGATATTCTGGCTTTGTTCTATTTGAGGACGATCCTTTCTTGGAAAGATACTTATGAGAACAGAGCATATGTATCGTTTAAAATTATGTCGGTGTGTCTCTTAGCTATTCATTTACAGTCCAAAACCTGTTAACTAATCAGAAGTTTAAAAGGCCTCTTTTTTTGCAGTATGCTGAGCGCTTGCCCATTGGAACTGAAAAAGTTATCCGAACAGTTTCTGCTGCAACTGTGAAGCATTTTTATAAGAAGTGGTACCATTTACAGCATATGGCTTTGATAGCTGTTGGAGACTTTCCCAACTCAGAGGTTTCCCTTATAAATAATCCAAAATATCTCCCAGTAATGCAAATTATGTGTGAAAATTAAATCAGACTCTTCCTCTGTCTTTCTTTATCATGCAGAGTGTTGTAGAATTAATCAGGACGTACTTCGGACAGAAAAGCTCAGCTGATGAGCCTCCAGGCATACTTCGTTTTCCAGTTCCATCACATGATGAACCGCGTTTTTCATGTTTCATTGAATCTGAAGCTGCTGGTGTAAGTATTGAATTGTCTGTTGGTGCATTGCTGCAAATCCATTTAAGCTGAAGATATTATCTTACTTTCCTCTTGCATTGTTTATCTTAGTCTGCAGTAATGATAAGCTGTAAAGTGCCAGCACAAGAGCTAAAGACCATAAAGGACTACAGGGATTTGCTTGTGGAGTCCATGTTCCTTCTAGCTTTAAACCAGAGATTGTTTAAAGTTTCTCGTAGGAGGGATCCACCTTTTCATTCATGCTCTGCTGCATCCGATAATCTAGTAAATCCAATTAAAGCTTACATATTGACTTCATCTTGTAAGGAGAATGGAATTATTGAGGCTTTGGAGGCAATGCTCACAGAGGTGTGGTAAATTTTTGGTACCAGTTTGAGTTTTATTAGCTATTTTGGAAGCTGACGCTTAATTTACAGCTTGCAAGGATTCACCTGCATGGGTTCTCAGAACGTGAAATATCCATTGTTCGGGCTTTACTATTATCTGGAATTGAATCTGCTTATCTTGAGCGTGATCAAATACAATCAACCAGCTTAAGGGATGAGTATGTGCAGGTAAATTAATATACTCGATAGTTCAGTTGGTGTTTGTGAAGAAAAACCCTTATTTAGGCTTATCTTTTCCCTCTTTTTGAATTTTTTTTATGTTTTATATCTCTTCCAGCATTTTCTCTGCAATGAACCTGTTGTTGGAATTGAGTTTGAGGCACAACTTCATAAATCTCTTCTACCATGTAAGTATCTGTTCAGAAATGTGATTATGAATTCCTGCATTGACTCATCCATCACACTGTTGATTAAATTGATCATTTGTAGCCATCTCTGCGGCTGAGGTAGCCACATATGCTCGTAAGTTCAGCACAACATGCAATTGCGTCATTAAGGCAATTGAGCCTCAGTCTACTGTAACTTTAGATGACCTTAAAAATACTGTGGCAAAAGTCACAAGTCTTGAAGAAGGAGAAAGTATCTCAGCTTGGGATGAAGAACAAGTTCCTGAAGAAATAGTTACTATTAAGCCAAATTCTGGGTAACTTCTAATCTTGTGAAAACTTGTTCTTTTGATTTCCTGGTTGAGTTCTGCATGCTTCCTTCATCCTCCTTTTCTTAACAAGCTCTGTTGCCTGACTTTTCAATAATCAATATAGAATGATCAAGATATGACAAAAGTTTCTTTTATGAATGCAATCTTTTTTCATATAAAATGCATTTGGTTTAAGCAAAGAGCTATTGTCAGTTTGGAAGTGTGAATGCTTGAAATCTACCTGACTATTAAATATCCTACTCTGTCCCTCCGTAATCTTCTTGTTTGCTTTTTGCGACGTACTTGTCTAATCTTTCTATTGTCCTGTTTCCTTTTTGAGCATATGTTACTTTTTCTCTCTCCATCACAACCAAAGCTATTTTATCATGGTTCCAACTCTCTTTCAATTTTCTTAAATTTTTATATTATTATTCTCACATAATCTCCATGCAAAAACAAACAGGTAGATTATTTAGAGATGATGAGAGCGATTTGCTAATTAGCTGTTCAGGTTCTTTGGATGAACTGTCTTCTAAGATATTCTGCACTTCTTAATCTGTTTGAAACGGCTCACTAAAGGGTTGACGTTGTTCCTTTTCTTTCTTTCTTTTCTTTTCTTTTTCTTTTTTTTCCCCTCAACTTATTGGAGGATCTGGCTATCGTTTCTGTACAGTGTTTTCATGCATTTATTGTTGATCTTCCTCGTAATGTTTTAATGTCAGAATATTTTTTGGAATTCTTAATTTTAGGAAAAATTTTCATAATAGAAAATGGAGTAATGTTAGTCAATTGCCAGGTTTGCTTGATAATCCGTTCCCTGTTTGCTTCCTTTTGAAAGAAGGCAGTGGGGCTCTGCAAGGCATACTCCCCTTGTTTTACTCAAAAAAAGTGACTAATTGTTTTCTTGTGCTACATGTTACCTTCCAACAATCTTTGACAGGTCTTCAGGAAGCAACTGATCTTCTTCTTTTTGTTTTTTTTTTTTAATTTTATTTGACTTGTGTATATATATGTTATTTTTACTATTTAGTAAACCAAATTTATCACTCCTGTTAATACTGATCCCTAATGGATTTCAATCCCAGAAATTTAAAATTCTCAGCATTTACTATTATGTTCTCTTCAGTCTTCATCTACTGTTAAACCCTTTTGTCCCCTTACCTTTCCCAGCCATATCCCCTGCCATCATGACGTTGTGTCGATGTCATTTTTCTTTGAAAGTAAGCTGTGTAGCCTAAAAGTTCTTGTGCAGATCCTCTCTAAAGTCTCTGACTCATAAGTCATACCTACTCGTTTCTTTGGTTCTCTTCATGACAGATATGGTTAAGTTTTGTTGGTGTTATGTCTGATGTAGTTTTATTTATTTATCTAAAGGATGTAGAATTATTGGTCTTATTTTCTGTATTTCATAGTATTAGCCATCCACACTTATTGTGTTTGAACTTTTACCTTAAATTTCTTTCATAGATATAAAAAAAATCATAAAAGTAAAATATGGTGAAGAAACAGTGGTCTAATAATGTTGCTCCCTTCATTTCTTTTAATGTTCTTGTTTTGACTACACAGGTTTGCAAATGCACATTTTTGATGATTAATACTACCTCTGTTTCTTTTTAGTTGACACGTATTCCTTTTTAGGAAGTTTTTTTTAGTTGACACGTTTCCTTTTGGGGTAATTTTTTGACCTTGCATTTACAAGCTACCCCATTTGCTTTTTCATTCTCTCTCACTCTCTCTCCTCTCCTTAATATATGTGTCTAAATCAAACGCGTCAACTAAATAGAAACGGAGGAAGTATCTAATTATTAATGCTCTCGTTGAGACAAAACAAATAGGACTCCACAGGAATAAGATTTTTCGTATATATTGGGAATAATTTAGAAGATTCCTTGAAATTGTGAATAGCTAAAAGATTTTCAAACTAGAACATTCTGAAGAAAAAAAAAGGTGGGGGTACGGAGTAAAAAATTTTCAATCAAAATTGGCTTGTCAAAGTAAAATATCAAAAAATGTGGCTAGCTTTAGCTTGAATCTGCTTCAAGATTCGAAGCAAAAGAAGCTACCATGCTGTAGGGGACCTCAGAGGAAGAGAATAAAAAAATTGCTGAAAAAGATGGACTTAATTTAGGAAGGGGCAGAAACCACTCCCCCCTCCCTCCTTTCACCTTTTATATGCATATGAGGCAATTACTCAAGTGTTTGTTGTAATTAAGTTCCTTTCGTCTCATGCTTGTTATCCTTAGTGGATATCTAGTCTCACCAAAGTTCCATTTATAATGGGTTTCTGATGGAATTTGATTTTAAAGGAACTTCCATGTCCTTTGGCTAATTTACTATGCAATGCTTTTAATTTTGTGAAACACATGTCATAATGTGTAAACTGCATATTCTATTATGCCTCTCTTTATTTTTTTAAAACTTTGTTCCTACTGTCAGAGGCAGATTACTGTTGATATAGTTGCTTGTTGTTTGTGTATTTATTTCTTTGTCAACAAATTGTTTCATAGATGAAATGATCTTGAGCTGCCACTTTATGTAAATGTGAAACAGTATTATATACACTTTTCTTTGATAGTTTGTTGGCTCCCTGAAAATTAATCCGCAACTAAGTGAATACTAGCAAGGGATGTCTTGATTGCCTTTTCTTGGCACGTACTATATGTTATCAATCTCTTTCAAAGTTCCCCAAATTATATAATTTCGAGTTTTCTTGTAAATTGTTATAGCTGTATTCAGATTTCAGACTTCTAAATGGTCTCCATGTCTGGCTCAGGAGTGTAGATCAGCAGCAAGAATATGCCGATATCAATGTCACTGAGCTAATTTTATCAAATGGCATGAGAGTTTGCTATAAATGTACTGACTTCCTTGATGATCAGGTATCATGATTGAAAGGGTTTGCTATATGAACTGCTTTAGTGATACTTGGTACTAATAGTGTTAAGTAATATTTATATGTTGTTTAACACCTTTTATATTTGATGCTATGGAAATTATATCTCATTTATCATGTTATTTCCCTAAAGAATTGTCCAGTGTGTTTCGTATGAAATTTGTTGATTATACACTAGTTTAAAGTTGCACGTCTTTGAATTAATTGAAGCCGAATTTCAATCGCCTCCTTACTGGTCACGGTATTCTTGAGTTTTGAATATGGTGTGTTAATATGTGTTATGATATCTGAGCAGGTTCTTATAAGTGGATACTCATATGGAGGTCTATCAGAACTCTCAGAACCTGATTATGTTTCATGTTCCATGGGTTCGACTATTGCTGGTGAACTTGGTAAATTTGGCCATAAACCATCTGTACTGATGGACATGCTTGCTGGTAAAAGGGCTGAGGTTGGAACAAAGCTTGGACCTTATATGAGAACTTTTTCTGCTGACTGTTCACCAACAGACTTGGAGACTGCATTACAGGTTGGCTCTTTGGAGCTCTGTTTCCTTTGCTTCAATTTGATCTATCTTATGCATCATGTGCTGGTTGTTGGTAACAAATTTGCTCTTCTGTTGGGTGAACTTTCTGGTTCTAACTTCCTCAGTGCTTTTCCTTTGATGTTATGAGGACCCATTTTAATATTGAAACGTATTAAAAAAGGTTGGAAGGCTAACAGGGTCTGCAAATTTTCTATCAGAAGACAGTAATATGCCTGTAATGCATTGGTTAATATTAAGGGGCAGTCAAGCTACAAAATAAATGTATAGCTTGGAGAGAATGCACGTAATTATCTGCTTCTATAAATACTAAGATTTGGAGAGAAATAAAACATGGGAATTATTATTGATTGTTTCATTTAGATTTAGTTGTATATGGAGAGAGTCCAGCCTCTCCAAAGGTTTATTATCATTTACATTTTGTTAACTCTCATTTCATTGATCAAATTAACTTTCTACTTTAATATTTTGCCCAAAATTCCAATTTGTTACAGTGCCTTTGTACCCTAAAGTTATGTTCCTTGCCCTCATCCCACATAACCTCAACTCAAGTTGTATCAAGTTCTTATGCGATCCTATACACCCCTATCCCCCTCTCCAAGTGTCTTTATATCCTCTCCTATTACTTTTTCTTGTGTGTTGCATTTTCATGTAATCTATTCTTGATTCAGTTATTGGCTGTATTTCTACCGTCTAAATCTTATTGTAACAGAGGGTTTAATAGGCATTTTGTTTACCTTTTTTAAGTACCATTCAAACAATCAATGATATGTTCTTTTCTTCGAAATCTCAAGTTTTGGTATTGGAATGTTCCTCTCAAGATTTTCCCTGTCATTTTCTACACTTTTGAAATGAGCATTAGAAACCCTTCACCTAAATAATGCCAAGAATAAATAAATTAAACAATGGACACAAAATCTGTTGATTGGTTGCAAATTTGCAATTGTCCTCCCAGGCTGGAGATAATGAAGTCTCTTCAATTTAACAATCTAAATTTGGCTTGTAAAGTTTTAAGTTCTATAAAGTGGCTACCAGACTAGCTCTTCCTCTGTTGGAATATATTGGCCAATGAGACACGTTCAAGCTCAAAAGATAAGAATAGTGAAGATGCAGTTGTTGCGTTGGATATCTTGATTATTCATAGGGAGCTAAATTCGGCAATATGATGTTTCTGGTCTCTAACCCACTAACCCAGAAGAACTGTACTGTCTCTGTTTTAACTCATTATCTGTTTTTTGAAATCTCAAACCTCTATGCCAAAACACTGCCAGAATTTTCGTTTCTATTGCCTGTGCATGTCATATAAGACAATTTTCTCTTATGCCTTAGACATTTTTTCTAAAATAAACTGTATTGCATATTTGTCCATATATCTTTGGCAAGGTCAAAATTTCCCTTCTTTTTAGTTATCGTTTTGTGGGCTAACATTTTAGTTGTGGACTCAGCTTGTTTATCAGCTTTTTATGACAAATGTGGAGCCTAGAGAGGAAGAAGTTAAAAAAGTGATGGAAATGGCAGAAGAAGCTGTCCGTGCTCAGGAGAGAGATCCATATACTGCCTTTGAGAATCGTGTGAGGGAGATAAATTATGGAAACTCTTATTTCTTTAGGGTATGATTAAACTTTATGCTTGTCCCCCTTTTTTTTTTTTTTTTTAATTTTTTTAAATTTTTATTTCTGGGTGGGTGGTGTGTTAAGATTTACTAATTTTTATGTGCAGCCTATTAGAATAAGCGACCTTAAAAAGGTTGATGCTTATAAAGCATGTGAGTATTTCAGCAACTGTTTCAAGGATCCATCAACTTTCACGGTTGTGGTTGTTGGCAACCTTGATCTTGCTACTGCCTGTCCATTGATTTTGCAGTACTTGGTAAGCAGGAGCTTCTCAAACTTCATTACACTTAACATTACACTGTTTGGCATCATCTGCACTCTTTAATTTTACATGCAGGGTGGAATACCAAAGCCTCCCGTTCCGATTTTACAGTTCAGTCGTGATGACCTCAATGGCCTGCCCTTCACTTTTCCTGACAACATTATTAGGTATATTTTCTCCGAAATCAAATATAGCAATTTTTATTATCTACATATGTTAAAACCTAGGAATTTATTATGAAAATGATGATGGAAGACAAATCAGAAGATTTTTGTTGTCAAACTGTCATTATGAACTACAAATCTTGAGTCCTTCAGCTTTCCTTTTTCTTTCTGTTTCATTTTTGTACAGTCTTACCTGGCATAGGTGATGGCCTAATAACAGTAATAAGGCTGATTCTTTCCTAGCTCACCACCGGAGTAATTATTACTGCTAACATGCAAAAGTTGTCTACTGTGGGCCTGTGGCCCAGTAGTGCTAGATTAATGAAGTTATGAAGTTATTTTTTATAGAGACAAAACACACTCCTCTACAAAATATTTTGAGGCAAGTTGTCGTCATATTTGTCAAGGATGTAATTTTGGTGATGTTACAGGAGGGAAGGGAAGCAAGACAGGTAACATTGCAACTATGTGAAAATTATCTAAAGGAAAGTGCTATTGGTGATATTACAAGTATATAAATTTTTCAATATTAAGAAAGTAAGAAAATACTCAAACTGCTGATTCTTGTTAATCAGTTTTCCACTTGTTATGATGGTAAAAATTTCTCTCTATTAAACCATGTTGTCGAGCTTGTTTCAAAATGGTTCTATTTTGTGAGTTGGTGGGGAAGATGATCTTTAAGAGTCGAAGATGTCCTTTATTTTTTATCAAATTTCACATTGTCATACTGTGATAAAACAGAAGACTTACAACTGCCCTGGATCCTCTTTAATGGTGAACAATTTATTCTATAGATAATTTCTTACTATGGGAAGAGATAAGTTCCTGATCTGCCATTCTGAAAATACATCACGCACATCTGTGGGTGCGCATTTATATATTTCAGACACCTGCTTTAATTTCTTTAGTAGGTGTTAACCTCTTAAAACAAGGGGTCATGGTTTGCAGACAAGAGTTATCTATCCTCAGATCCTAGGTCTCCAGACGTAAATTGAATGTGGGGAAACAAAAACATGGGGTGATTTATCCAACTACTTCTGCAATTTTTACACGAGAAAACTAGAGAATATCCTTATCACTTCACTTGTCTGGCGGGCCTAAAAGGAACACTTATGCACCTAATAAATTTGTAATATCTTATATCTGATAAGGAATTGTGTAAAACAAGGGAAATAAATAGTAAAAGCCTTATCCTTTGCCAAGATTTGTTTCCAGACCCTCATCTTAAGGCCCCCCTAACCTTGTACCTGATCAAGGGCAAAAACAAAGAATATTCTTCCTCCGTTCTTTTATTATTGCACCACTTGCCATTTTAGGAAGTTTCACAAATATTGCACCATTTCCTCTTTAGAAAAAAAATTATTTGTGTTCACACTACAAATACCCAACATACCCTTGCTTTTTCACACTTACTTTTTAATTTATCAATATGTCACATGGGCAATTTTGTATTTTTACCTTTCTCTCTTACTTTTTTTCCACTACCAAAATATTTGCACCCAACCCCTATGGTGCAATAATAAAAAAACGGAGGAAGTATGTGATATGAAATTGTAAAAAGTACTGTATCAGCGGACCTTCGCACCTGCTAGAGCATCCCAACCATTCTTCCTGGACTCCATACCAGTTCTCTGTAACTCTATTTTATAGAATCTATATTTTGTCATACAGATTGATGAAAAGTAAAGAAAAGAGCATCTCCTATCATGTTTGGCATGTCTTTTGGTGCTTTGCTAGAGAATTTATGGAATTGAAAGAAAAGAGCTAAATCTTGATATAATGAGCAGTTCCTGTGCTGTTCGCAATCTCACATATACATTCTTAACTGTTACAAATTTTGAGACAAAGAATCTGTTTCAGGGAAATTGTTCGCAAACCTATGGTGGAAGCACAGTGTTCAGTACAGTTATGTTTTCCTGTGGAGTTGAAGAATGGGGCTATGGTAAGAGTGTTGACCTTCATTACTTAGCTAATTTGAGGACTTTTGGTAGTAAGTCAACTTTTTTGTCAAACTTTCCTCTGAAGTTTGTTTTTCTTGATTTGATCTGATTCTGTTTTCTGAAATTAAAACATTTGTGCTTTTGAAAATCTTCATTCTCGTACTTCTAGTATACAAGTAGTTTTGTGGCATTATGAAGTTCTGTGAACATTTATGGCTCTACACAAAGACCTCCATTTTGCTTGGGTATGCAAATATCTTTGCACTAAACCCAATGAAAGCCCTTAACAAAATCCTCATTTGCCCATAGGATGTCCCATGCAACCTTCCTTGCCTTTGTGCTGCTATAACAGGGATTTTGAATAGAATTTAAAGTAAATGGGCAAATATGGAACTGTTATTCTACTCCGTTAAGATAAGAGCTTTGTTTTCCACTCAAGGGTCCTTTTCTAGATCCTCCAGAAGTCCAGAGGATCGGGTAGTGAGGAGAAGTTCCAAACCGTAATCAGCTAACACTGCAATTTGAATTCTCCCCTGTTATGATATTTGGATATTTCTTAAACTTGTCTTTCAATTTCAAAATAATTCAAAATTTTATAGTGCATGCCTTGAATAACCAAATAACTCATGTCAGCTTTTTAAAAGTTTAGTGTCATTATTGGCCATTCAATGGCCAAGAAGAGAGGAGATGGAGAGAATTTTCAATTGAGTCATTATTGATATTGTTTTAATGCATACACCTTTACAAAAGTACCATCTAAGTTGCCTGGGCTGCTAATTTACTACAAGGTTCCACAAGGATGAAGAGATTATTTCTCTCGAAAAAAAAAGAATGAAGAGATTGCATTGACTTTTTTGCTTGAGAGCTTGCGAAGAAACCTTTTATCTGTCTATTGATCTTGAGTTATATCGAAAAAAGATCACATTTATTTCTTGCATTTATTGGGAAAAGCATATTCTGATTGTGAATATTTAAATACCCTGAGTCCCAGACATGTGATGATAGGTCTTCTTACAGATAGCTGGCATAACAAACCAATCCCATTTCCCCTATTGGACCTAGATTAGAAACCTTTGCATTCATTTCCACATAGAAGATTTGAGTACCAAGGAGAAACACATATACAATTATAAATGCGTCCCAAGCAATTTTCTTATCGTTAATTTCAGTCTCAAAGCAAGATTTTAGCAAGGATCTAAAAGTTATATCTATTACTGGAATTGGGTTTAAATTTTAGTTTCTATGCTGTTTCGCTTCGACTAAGAAAAGTTGCATTAACCAATCATTGCTGCTTTGTCTTCGCTGAAATCTGTCTTCTAGTTATCATCTACTTTCAGGAAATGTTCGGAATAAAGTACTTACAATATATAGTGCAACTCAGCTATTTCTCAAACTCGTCTTAGATTAACCTTTCAACCTTATACAAAAATTCCTTACTGATACTGTTTCCTTTAATCCTCTGTTAATCAATAAATGATTTATATTTATGCATATTTAGCTCATTAATTTTCTATTACTAATGTTTAATTAGTCTCAAGTTATTCCTAATTTCCACCATTATTCTAGTTCTGACTTGTTCAGTGGAGTTGAGTGATTCACGAGTCTTGAATATTTTACCCCTTTTGAGGTGAAAAACAAACCTTATCTGAAATTGTTGACTGCTTCTCCTCTCCCTTCTCCTCCCATAATCTCCCCAATCTAATGAGGAGATAATAATTGAGAGGTGTAATGAAGAACAGACTTGACAGCACTAAGAATTTCTTTTCATCTGTTATATCCCTTATGGCCTTGTGTGCAAAATGGCGTATAGTAGTCTAGTAATATTATCCAGTTATATCTCTGGATTGGAAAATCTTGTCAGGACTTAATTATTATAAGTCATGTTAAGTAGAAATTGTTATTCATACACTGTAACGAGTGTCAGGTAATGGGTACATAACAGTGTCAAATACATTAGGGCTTAAAATTTGAGACACCAGAACAGTCCTGAAATTGGACATAGATGCGGCAAACACAGCATATATGGAACATGATCCTACTTTTACAAGACATGCTGCATGTGCTTTTCATGTTACAGATACATATATACACATTTCAGATTGACTTGTTAGCTAGTTCTAATCCCATGTGTGATTATATCTCACATAAATTTCTCTTCACTTTTCCCCTCTTAATACATCTTATCTCTACAGCTATGTAGTCCAGAATAATTGAGTGTTTGGGTGACTGAATGATATTGAAGTGTAGGATGAAAATTTTATATTTTCGTTTCAGTGTTGAGTGCCTAACGTGGGTACACAAATCAAAGTAACAAGTTGAATTTCTTACTGCATGTCTACATTAAATAAACAAGAAAAGGCTCGCCCTGCCCTGACCAAGTATTAATATCAATTTTTTTTGTTTTGTTTTGTTTTGTTTTGTTTTGTTTTGTTTTGTTTTGTTTTGTTTTGTTTTTGTTTACCCTTTCTCCATTGTGCTAGATTGAAGAGATTCACTTTGTTGGATTTCTGAGTAAGTTGCTAGAGACAAAGATGATACAAGTCCTCCGTTTTAAACACGGGCAGGTGGGCATGTCTTTCATAATTTTTCGATTTGCAATTTTTCTCTTTATGGAGGATGTTCCTGATTTTCTTGTGCATATCTGGCTTAGATTTACTCTGCAGGTGTGTCTGTATTCTTGGGGGGAAATAAGCCATCAAGAACTGGTGATGTACGAGGAGACATCAGCATTAACTTTTCATGTGATCCTTCCATGTCTTCGACTCTGGTCATCCTTTGTACTCCTTTTTCTTTTATCTATTATGTTTGTTTTTGAAGAGAGGGACTGTGCTACAATGAGCTAAATATAATGTGGAATGATTTGCAACAGGTTGAGTTGGCATTAGATGAGGTTTTGCATCTGCAGAATGAAGGCCCTTCAGATGAAGATATCTCAACCATACTTGAAATTGAGCAAAGAGCCCATGAAAATGGCTTGCAGGTAAGTTCTAAAATGTTATCCTTAAGGCTCTATCTTTTAGATAAATTGATGTAATTCCAGCCGTCATTATGAGTGTACTCGTTAAGATTTATGTTCCTTATTAATCTCATCTCCTCTCAGGAGAACTATCATTGGCTAGAAAGGATTATTAGAAGCTACCAATCAAGAGTCTATTCTGGTGATTTAGGCACTTCTTTTCAGGTTAGAATTTTTCATTGGAGCCCTATTTTGTGCTTCTTTAAGCTCTCTCCATGTTTCGTTTTGCCTTTCTTCTGTTTATACATGCAGCAACTAATGTCATTCACTTGCTATGTAATGGTTATCTCTTTCCTGAAGATAAATTACTTTCTTATTACTGGTTTTGCTTTGCAGATTCAAGAAGAAGCACGGTTGAAAGTAAGAACATCTCTAACACCTTCGACATCAAAATCTGCACTGCAAAGGATACTTCCATTTCCTTGCAGAAAGAAGTATACTGTGGTCATTTTGATGCCCCAAACAACATGTTTCCAATTACTTAAGTCATACTTTTGGGAAAGCTTCCCAAATTCAAAGGTCAGTTGGAAAATCTGGAATGTGTAATCTTTTGCATGTCGTTTGTTTGGGTTGGATTAGGTCGTGAGGATTCAGGCTGATGGAAGCAGGTCTGTAATTTTACTTCTTGGTACAACCAGGACTTATATACTTAGTTGTACGTTTGCATTGCAAATGTGGTACACATACAGTGTGTACTTCATTCGATATTGAGTTTGATGGGGGTTGGGGGGGGGGGGGGGGGGGGGGAGGAGGGAGGGGGAGATATCATGTAGAGCATCTACTCCTTTTTATGTTAATAGGCCGCATTAAGTAGGGGTCATTTTGGTTTCAGAAAAAAAAGAAAATGAAAAGTAGGGGTCATTTTTATTCAATTGAGTTAAAACACCGCAACTATTCTTCACTATTTGAGCATTTGTCTCTTTGTCGTATCCATTGATTCATTGGTCAGTTTAACACTGGAAAGTTCAAGGTTCACAAATTCTATATACTGCTTATATTGTGACAAACTAAAACAGTCATGAGGTTTAATTTAGAGATATAAGTAGTAGTTATTAATGTGGTTACTTGTACTTAAAAATTCACTATATAGGCTGGTAAAAACTTATTTACATTACTAGAAGATGATATTAAGATATTTTTGTAGGCAAATAATTTTGGGGGATTGGGGTCAGCATTATACTTTTCTTGTTTATACTGTCATATCTTGGGCATTGGTGAAGATATTGCTACTTAGAGATGGGTCACGTCTTCAACAGTTTTTCGATTACTTGGGATGCTAGGAAATTGCAACTCTGTACAGAGATATATACATGCGGTACATTTGGGGCTAGGGTTTTGGAGACTTACTGTGTGTTTGGATAGATGATTGAGAAGGAAAAGAAGGGGAGGGAGGGGAAGGGGTGGGAAGAGAAGGGGAGGGAGGGGAAGGGGAGGGGAGGGGAGGGAAGAAGGAGGGGTTTTCCTTCCAAATCTCTCCATTGTTGGAGAGATCCATTTCTCTCCCCTCCAATTCTCTCCCTCATTATCTACCCCTCCAATTTCCTTTCTTTTCCCTCCATTTCCTTCAATCCAAACAGTGTTAGGTAAACTCTGGAGGCTTTGATACAAGTACAACCCCTTCAACTTGACCTATGAAAATACATTATCTTTATCTCAGATTATTAATGGTCTCGCATGGATTATGGAGCCAATGCCCGACATTATGCTAGTAGCTCAAAATTTTAAATTACATGAAGGGTGTTAATTGATTGGATAATTAGATTATTTAATTTTTCAAAAACAGTCCGTATGCAATCAAAGACCCAATATTTGGCTGGTTCACAGTTGTTCATTACATGATTGTCCTGCACTTTTGATTTTGCCAACTGCATCCACCTATATTGAACATCTGCATGATGATGTGAACAAAGTGTTCATGTTTCTATTGCAGTAATGATATACCTTGTGTTATTACTGCTATCTGCTTGTCTTATACTTTGGATCTTTTGTTTACTTCTGCCTAACTACAGAATTTATGTAACAGTATGCAGTAGCTATAGCTGGTCTGACCATTCTGTCAGTAGCTCTGTGGAGATCTTCGCGAAGTAGGACTTAACCCAGAAGGAAACAGCCCTAGAGAATTACGTACACGGCTTCATTTAAGGTTTGACTGAGAGAATCCTTTTGTAGTTGACATTTGGTTAAAGAATATACAAATTTTTTCCAATACAAGGTGTTAGATTGAGAAAACTTATGCTAGAAGCCATGGGAGATGTGTTGTAATGAAAGGAGGCTAGGCTTGCCAACAGTCAAATTACAAAGTACACATCTCCATCGTATCATAGGTGCTCTGAACTCGCAGGAAATTGCAATTGGACCAATGCTTGTTGTCCCAAGTTATTATAAACGGCCATCTCATGGTTACTGAGTACAAGTTTTCATCGTATCGTCAGCACTCCTGAAGCGCAGGAAATTGATCCGGTGCACACTGTCCTGAGTCTTTGACACATGCTATTTTCATGGTTACTGACCTGTGAATTTTGGAAACCATGGGCGACATTGTTCTAATTTTTTTTAAGGCATGGAAATAAATAAAATAATGTTTCAAATTAATATGGTTCTATTTACATCTACATGCATGAGGTTTTGATTTTTTATTTTTTTTTTAATGATAAAAACTTCCTCTTTTTTGGTTTACATATCTTTCTATAAATAAAGGTTTTAATATAGATGCATCTCTTTCTTTTTTACCTAATACTCGTATATCTCTATGTCTCTCTCTCATATCATATGAGCCCTTTTTATTTTTTTCTCTCTATCTTTCTCCACTTTAAATATGATTAAGAGCCCTTGTTTCTAAAGTTACCAAAATAAATAAGTGAGGTTACTTTTTTCTTAAAATTAATAGCTATTACTCAAACTTTGTATGTTAATTAAGGTTACAAAATAAGGTTACCCTTATGAATAATTGAGGTTACTCATAATTGTTGAATAAATGTTATTGTCACACCATGTAGCTTGACTGGCCACACACGATTTGTTGTGTATATAATTGAACATTTAAGCAATGACATTTGATTTACTATTGTACAAGTATTTTTTTTTAAAGCGATCAAAATTAAATGCTTACACATTAATAGAAAGAATTGTAAGATTTTTTTTTAAATCAATAATTTTCAATATCCAACACCAGTACCACCAACACAACATTAAAATCTTGTAAGAGAGTATAGACCAGTTTACAAAGAGGTTTAAAGTTCCAACAAAATATTTAGGTCCGTTGAGCACAACTTAGACCCAAAACTTTCAGTTCACAGACACTCTCTATAGTGAGGTTAATTAAATGACTTACAACATTCATGACTTCATGCAATGTATACCTTACAAAGGCATCATTTAAAACCTGAGAGAGAATAATGCACGGGGATCACTTGCAATTCAACTTTCTTCCTTACTACTATGCCAAATGTTTCATCCATGTCCAAATCTTCAGGACTACTCCCATATGGCAACTCCCAGTTGAAATGGTATAGTAACATGGCTAACACGAGCTCAACTATGGCAATACCTAGTCCCATTCCGGGAGGGTAATTCCCAGTTTCTCTTCTTGAGAAACAAAGTTTGTATCTCATGAGGTTAAATTTGGAATTATCCCATGTACAACTAAGGGTAAGAGTGACTTTTTCTAGAATCTGCCAATTTGGATGTTGCTAAGCTTAAAGCCTACCCTTTGACGGAGTTAAAGCTACTGTTAACCAAGTTTCCTCCTTACAACTTACCTCTGTCAGTGCCCACCGCGTGAGTTTTCTCCGGTGAATTCCTCAAAAGCCAATTCGATGTTCTGTATACATAGCGAGGTTTTGAAGGCAATTCATAACACGTCCGGCGATGTACGGGTAGCGGTGTATTTGTATGCGGCGAATTTCTCCATCCATTCTCTCACCTCCATCAATAGAATAAAACACGCACTTCTTCAATGGAGGTGGAAGTCAGACCCTACCCTTAAGGATTAACCAAGCCCTAATTTCTCCATTATTCCTTTGGATTTTTCGTTTGATTCGGCGGCGAAGTCGCCAGAAAGGCTAAGGAGGTTGAAGAAGGTAGGGGGCTACGAGATCTGGAGACAACTACATACAGTGATACGAAGTAAACTTCACTTTCGTTCAAGTTTTCCGACGGAATTCTCCGACTTTGCTACTGGATCGTCCCTGCAAATTACAGTGCTTGGATGGATATTGAGGAATGAGATCTGACGGCAGTTTTTTAAGAAGTTAACACCGTATACTAGGGTCCACATAAGCAAGTTGAGTGGTTTTTACAATCAGCAAGAAATAATATTAGTTTACAATTCCCAAAGCACAAAAATTTCAAAATTGCCACTCCTTGTTTCTCAAGAAGAGAAACTGGGGTGCCCCGGGACATATCCTCCTTCCTGCGCCAAATGGAATCAGTTCAAAATAGGTGCCTTTGTAATCTATTGATGAATCTTCAAATCTTTCTGGATTAAACTTGTTTGAATCTTTCCAATACTTAGAATCTCTTCCAATTGCCCATGCATTAATAAAAATTCCTGTTTTGGGAGGTATTTCATAACCTTTGATCACACATCGATCCATGGACTCTCTTGGAACCAAGCAAGGGAAAGGAGGATGAAGTCGTAATGTTTCTTTGATAACAAATTTCAAGTACACAAGTTTTTCTAGACTTTCCTGGTTGATCATCATTTCTTTTCCTTGTAATACTTGTCGTACTTCTTTTTGAGCCTTTTCCATTGCTTTTGGGTTCTTTAACAATTCAGAGAATACCCATTCTATTGTCGTTGATGATGTTTCACTTGCGGCACCAAACAACTCCTGTATATTTTCGTATATTAGAATATCATATATATATATATATATATATATATATATATATATATATATATATATATATATATAATTGAGATTATGTGAGAATCAAGGTGAATAATAGGAAGTAGGAACCAATATCAGCCTTCAATCGTGCTCCATCTGACGGCTCACATCTCACCCGCTTCCATTAATGGCATTTTCGTAATTTTGCGGATTTTAAAACTTTTTTCCAGTTTTTTAACTTTAAAGGCAATTTCATTTACTTTATGACTGATTTCATATGTACTTTTACTAACTTTTCATTTACTTTTTAAAAATGGAACTGGGAATAATTTTGTAACATTCAAATATTACGAAAATGCCATTAATGATACGGGAAGCATGTGAGTCGTCAGATTAACATGGTCTAAGGGCCTATATTAGTTCCTAGTTCTTATTTTAGCCTTGGTTTTCATTATAACTTGTGTCATACCATTAGATAATATAAACTATACTTCCTTAGTTGTGGCACGTTGATTAAGGTAAGAGGAGATAAAAAAAAGTAAAAAAAAAGGGTAAGAAATATTTTTTAATGAAGAGAAGATAGAGAGGCGAAGAGAGAAAAAGGGTGGTCAAGCATTAAGAACAACTAGCCTTCTGTCCCGTGCAATGCACGGTTTGTTTATAAGTATACAATATAAATAATTATTTTTTAATATTTATATATTGGAAAATAAATAGAGGAGAAGAAGAGATGGAAATTAAATGTAATTATAGAAGAAATTAAATTGGTGAAAAGTGAACAAAACAACATTCATACAAGTATTGAATTAATTTTTTTTTTAATATGAGAAAGGGGATTAAAAAAAGAAAGATTAAATGAGGAGACATGTGACATTGGAAAAAAAACAAAATTTACATGTGGTAATATAGGGATGATGGTTTGTGTTTTTAAATACTAATAAAGTATAGATTTTAATGGAAAGCTAATTGTCAAATTAGTTTGCCATGCCACATAAGGTTTTAAGCTAATCATCATTGTAGATTTGTAGCTACTTCGAAGTCACATGGCTAGCTATTAGCTTGCTTTTTAAATGACCTCAATTACTTAAATAGCTTCTTTTTATTTAATTTTATTTAAATCTAATTGCATTTTCTAACTCCAATGGTCAAGCTAATAGCTAGGAATTATTTAAAATTGCAAGCAAGCTCCTAACTATAACCATTAGAATTGCTCTAAAACACTAGATTTTAAAAATTGGTAAAATAGGTTATATATATATATATATATATATATATATATATATATATATATATATATATATATTTTGAGGGATAGCTCAAGTGGTAAGAGTTCTCCTTCCGGTTCAAAGTGATCTTGGGACGATTTTCATCACTCGCCCATGTGACTCCTTTAGCACTAAAAAAAAATTGCTGCATATATAAATAAATACATACTTGTATATAAGGAAGAAAGATAGTAATTGAACTTACAAAAACTATAGCCTTGATGCTATCAGTGGTGAGAGAGAATTCAGTGCCAAGATGCAATTCATCCTTATGAAATTTTAAGAGAATATCCACCAAGTCTTCCTTTTGATCTTTGCCATATCTGTTTGTAGAAATATGGTCCTTAATTATAGGATCCATTAGCTTATCAAATCTCTTAACTATCCCTTGGAGTTTCCCTTTCATACCAGTAATTGTACTTATGAACATCAATGACGGATACAAGTCACTAATTGAAAATTCGGAGATGATTTCAGCTACATCTGCTATTAATTGCCTGAATTCTTTTCCATCTTTGCCTTTCTTGTTCATAGTTATCCTGAGAAACCAGACATTAAATTATAGTTTTCGGCGTTGACCACCACGCAAGCTTACCCAAGTACTCCATATAAATAAAATACAACTTAAAAGGTCTTTTTTCAAAAAGTCATCACTTAAAAGGTCATTTTTCACAATTTTCTATACATTTATTTTGCACTTTTAAAGTTTTTATTTATATACCACTAAAGCCGAACTAGTTATAGAAGCAACATTTTTTGGCATCACACGACAATACAACCAAAATTGGCACGATATGAACAGGAGATTAATTACAAAGGGAAAACGTAAACGATGCAGTTGACAAGAAATCAACATGAACACGATTTTGTTTTAGGTGCAATGATTAAATTATTGAAATTAAGCAATTATTCTACCTTTTATAATTAGTTAGTTAGTTAGGTTCTTATTTTTTTTTTTTTTTTTTGGTGAACAAAACACGGAGTACAGATGATACTAAACACGGACACGATATAAGAGAACTTTTTGTACTATTGTGGCCATAATCTCATCAATCTTTATACTTCCTCTGTTCTATTAATATAGTAACAAGGAGGAAATTACGCATCCCAAAACACATTTTATATGCTAAATATCTATTTTTGCAGGAATCCGATGACCCAAATCCAAGATCCGAAGCTCGAGTGTATAACCCGTTCTGCTCCTGTCGGCCAAATAAGAACCTACACACAGGGAAGCGATTAGCTAGCCCCGGGGTGAATCCGGGGATAACCACTCCAAAGATTAAGTCAGCAAGTGTTTATAGAAAGAAGAAAGAGATTATTCAGAGAGAGAAAGTAGAGAGAGAGAGTGTAATAAATGCTACCTTATTTATGAGGTAAAACCAGATTATTTATAGGTTGATTAAGTGACGGGTGACAGTTTAATAGGCAAAGTAATTTTTGCCACGTGTCAAACGTGAGAACGACACGTGTCAGCTGCTTGTATGCCGATATGTATGCTTTATATATAAATGCCGATATTAACAAGAATTATTGATGATCCGGACTCAAATAGTATATCGGCCTATAAAACAATATCGACCTTAATATAAATGTTATATAAACATTTCCCCATACAACTAGCCCCCCGAGTGAGAACGTTTGATTAGATGATCTAATGTTCTCATTTGATATTGACATTTTCAGTTGACATTTTCTATTTTATAGTGCATATGAATATTTAGGATAACTTCTGGTAAATGCTTGTGTAATTGAAGAATAAAAAGCATGGTGTAGACACCCATTTGTGTCTCCCCAAAACCAAACCCAGTGATGAGTGCCTTTCACGTCGAATCATAATCGAATGAAGTGAAAGTGTGGAAAGTTTAGTGTTGCGGAAAGTTTTAATTTCTTTTCTCTTCTCTCTGTTTTTGAAAACTTATTTTAAGAAAACAGCCAATCCAGTTTGATTGGTCCATGATATGGGTCCAATAGTAGTGTAGTTGGATGGGGCTTGCAAAGACCTTTCCAACGATATATTATAAGCCCAATTCCGATGAATATTGAGGAAGTTATGGCCAATTTACTAAACTAGGCCCGGTTTGAGCTTTATATGCGGCCCAATGTTCTAGGGGAGGGCCTAATATGATTTATCATTCCTAATGCAATTAGGAATGGTTTTAGTCTTCTAGATTCTTCTAGAAGGTTCTTTTCATTCCTAATTCAATTAGCATTGATAAATTGACTTTTGTTGACTTTTCAGAGTTTTAATTAAAATCAAATAGCATTTTCGAGGAAATTATATGATTTTACCCTCCAGTACGACAAACTTATCTGATTTTCGAAAACGTGTTAAAAGCAGGCTTGGCGACTGACTCCAGGTATTGGCGCCTGGAACCAGGCCTGGCGCCTGGCGCTAGTGTTGGTGCCTGGCGCCAGTTAGCCAGGGTTTGCGCCAGCTCTGTTTTTTATGCGTCATACTCTGTTTTGTTTATTTTATCTTTTTGGCTGATTTTCTCTATAAATAACGTATTAAAAACTCCGTTTTCATTCACCAATATTCATAAACTCTCATCAAGATTTTCTTGATTATTCTCTCTCTCTTTTAAAAATTAGTCTTTTTCATACAAAATTCCGCATTCACAAGATCTAGACACACCTAGCCATATTCGAAGTTTCTTTCGCCCTAGACGTGAAAGGTTTAATCTCTGAGGGTTTGGTCCAAAATCTCTATTTCAATTATTTTAATTTGATTGTTTTGATTATTATTTTCCTTGAAGTTACTAACGTGTGTATTTTGTAATTAGAAAGAGGTACGAGGCATCAAAGTAAGTAATTTAATGGTTTTAATTGATATTATGATGTAGAAATCATGTTTATATTGTTATTATGATATTCCTAGTATCATGTCTAGGGTAACTTTAATATTAAATATGCTTATTATGATTCCTTCGATGCTTCCTATGTTCTTCCTAATATTTATGATTGTTAGTATCATGTTAGGGCTAAAGATTTGATTTTTATTACTTAGTGACATGCTAGGGTTTGTTATTAATCCTGTTAGTATCATGCCTAGGGTCTTATTATTATTATGCTTTAATATTAACATGAACATGATTATGATTATAATTGTTATAATTTATGATGATTATGAATATTATTATTATTATTATTATTATTATTATTTTGATGTTGATTATTTTATTATTATCATTATTATGATTATAATTATTAATTTATTATTATGTTGCTTGATATTTACTGTTATTGCTTGATCACGCCTTTATTGCATGCTTAAAGGGAATTGGTACTTGTAATCACGCTTAATAAGATATTTAATAATCTTGTTTAGGGTTAATTTGATTATATTTCAAGTGATCGCCAATAATAGTTTATTTGTGCATTAAATTCAACCAACATAGATAAACAGGTTTAGGGTTAATCCTATTGATTGCATGTTAATTGAAAAGCGCACATAAATACGATCAGAATAAAATAGAGGCCTATTATTAGGGCATGTTCAATCTCTTTTAGGTTGGATTTGTACCTTCATCCCTGTAGGCGTCGTTTGAAGTACGCCTACGTTAAAAGCATGTGGTGAATATGCTTAGCACTCTTAGGAAGTAGGAATTGACATAATACGATTAGGGATAAAGCAAAGTAGGGAGCCGCCAACAAGTTTTTAAGGAACTTGTAAACCGTTCACGGATCATATAAGGCACCACGAATAAGAGACAACGATAGGCAACAACGATTGACCTGTGAAGGTTACACCCCATTCATAATCCATGAGATTACTAACTCCATATGGTTCGGAACCACGAAAGGAGGATCGGGGATGATGGTACGAAGTGAGTCATGGAGTCACATTCGCCCGTATTGGCCTCTTCTCGATTCTTATAGTGAAAAGTGATTCTTGCGATCTCAAAGACATACAAACAAAATATTCAATTTGCTCCAAACTATTATTATGCTATTGCTTGAATATTAATGCAACACATAATTCTAAAATATTTGTGATAACTTAAATTAACAACAAGATTAAAAAGGAACCTAAACCTGTTGTCCAAATTATCTTATTAGGCGTGATTTTAAATTACATATTCCCTTTGAACATGCAATATGGTGATCAATAAATATAATAAAATAAACATTAACATTGGAAGCAATTTAACCATAATAGCGTTAGTCAAATCAAATATAAAATAACCTAATCATGATACTAGCAATAAGAAAATAAAATAAGAGTAATTAAATTAATTAATTACTCACATTCTGCGCGTTCCTTTAAATTGCTACATCATGAATAAACTGTTAGTAACTTCAATAAAAAAATAAATCAAATTGAAACAATTAAATTAAATAAAAAGTAGAGTTGATTTGGTCCAAACCCTCAGTTAATTCTACCTTTCACGCCTTGGTTTAAGTATAGAACTTCAGGTAAAATATGGACTCCTTGGAGTGCTTAAAGGAAGAAATAGTAAAAGAGTGGGGAGGCTAGTGTTTAGGCTAAAGAGGGAGAAGAGAATTATTTTATGATCAAGCTTGTTGATGATTGAAAAAGGGGTGATATGAACTCTATTTATAAGGAAAAAAGAGGGTCGAAGAATCAAAATCAAGAAAAGATCGAGTTCGAATCGGATTAAAACTCTTGCGATAGAGAGCACTTTTTGCGATTTTTGTTTTTATCATATCTTTTGATCCAGAAATCGGAATAAGATGAATAAGATATTTTTGGAAATATCATAAAGTCTACTTTTTAATTCAATTAGAATCAGATTAAAATTGTTTGTAGAATAAAAGATATGGACGAAATAGTGAGACAGTGTCAGTTTTGGATTGAGTTTGACATTTTATTCATATCTTTTCCGTTACAGCTCGGAATTGATATTATAATATAATTGGAAAGATAATTTCAAGGGCTATCCAACCATATAAAAATTGGATAAAAACTATAAGACACGAAAATAATATCTGTCCATCTTTGAACGTCTTTCAATTCGGATATAAATAGGATTTAAAAAAAAAGAGTTTTATTCAATTTCAAACTATTTAATCTTATCTTTTCAAAAAGGATAATTAAGATCTTTTAGAAACTTATAGAAGCTTCTAATTAATCCTAATTGGTTTAGGATTGGTATTAAATCATTTGGACCCTTCACATGATCATTGGGTCGTAGGTAAGGTGGGCTTAGGTTCGGTTTGGGCTCGGTTTAATATTTTGGCCATAACTTATTCGTTATAACTCGAATTTAGGATTATAATATATCGTTGGAAAGATCTTTTTAAGACCCATCCAACTATTTAATCATTGGACCCATATTATGGACCAAAATAAATTGGATCAAACATTTTTATAAAAAGGACACGAAATGAATGATTTTAAAGGACACAAAATGAATTATTTTGGGTTTAAAGGCATGAAAAGAGGAAAATAAGTTATGGTTTGGGGAAATGGGCTAGGAATTGGGTTGGTTTATGAAATGGAAATATGGATTTAATCACTCCAAAAATTAAATACTCAACCCGACCAATAATGGCGGTGAAAGGTTGTTCATCA